ATTTTAATAATTAGCCGATGATTTTTAGTTATGCAATGATTACCAATTACATTTATGCGCCACATTACAATATCAAATAAAATGGTTTTAAAATGTCATATTTATATTTATCAATTAAGAGAAGCGAGTATAGAAGAAGATTCCCAAGTATCAGCGCTTCACATACAATTCCTAGTTCATATTTTAGTTTGGATCACTGATTTATTGGACAATTAAAAATGGTTATATTTTTTAGGTAGGTTCTACAAAATTTGGAAGTTTTGTACAAATGTGGGGTCAAAACTAACAAAACTATATACATATAGTTAAATATTCTGAACCAAAATTGCATGCATTTCAAATTTGCCTCAAAGCTATGTATTATTGGTGCAATCTCAATTTGTCTTGTCATCATTGTTTAAAATACGATCTTGCAATTTCAAACTATTTAATGACTACATTTGTTAGACTTCAACCTTCAAAGATTTCCGCAAATTTTGTTTTAAATTAAAGAAAGGTGTCGCATAGCACGATTTCGGAGATTATAAAGCAATGTGCGAGTCAAAATATAAGTTATTATTCAGAACGGTAAATTTGCGACTGGAAGTATTTTCATTAACATCTCCCTTTATTACAGCTTAACATATTTTTAATGGAAAAAAATGCTTTCTATAATTGTATGATTTTCTCAATTCAAGATTAATACTTTCGAAAGTCATCGTTCAAGTATTCATTTGTAACAGTAATATATTTTATAAATTCGCTGCATGAGAAAAATCAATTTGAATCACAAAATGTATAGAAAACGATTAAATAAACTTATAGGTGCTTTAAAAAAATTCGCGATTGTTATCATCAATCAAATACATACAATATAAAAATACCAAAAAAACATGGAAAATCATTTAACAGTAAGAAATTTTGTTCTTGGATCTGGATAGATCAAATGGATTTTTGTTAAGTAGAAATTTAAATTAAAAGAARAACTTTATTTTCAATTCCTCTCAGCTATGAAGGGAAGTGATTATTAYAAGAWTTKATAACAAGAAATTGATTTAAATGTATGGATTTTTTGGCCTTCAGGTGCAAATATATGAAGGAAATGCTGTCAGAAATTTGTATAGCTGCGCATGTAAAGAAGTAAATCGGTTGTGTGCTTTTCATATAGGACTAATGAGCTCTAATTGTTTGAGTGTAATTTTGTTTTTTCACCGGAAATTTAAAAAAATSCTGATGCCCTTACACTCTTGAATCTGGAATTCCGCAATCTGTAGATCTCTCTATCAGCTCAACTAAGTCGTCCAGATATACAGCTTATATTTATGGAGGTAGCAAATTACAACTCAATCCGGTTATCTGCGAGGCAAGAGGCAAATACAAGATTKATAAAATTGAGCATCACCATTACGAGTAAAATCTTGAACATATTTTAGCGACATGTTTAGACAATAGARAGTAGCTTTTTCCAGAGAGAGATGCGATTGCATTATTYATAATCTTTTGTAGTTAATTTTACTTATTTYGGAATCAACTGAAAGAGTCGAAAAACTTCCATATGATACCATATTATCTTGTGTTGAACTACTCTTAAAAMCGCGTCAAACTCTTTTCTCCTTCGAYTTTATGTAAGCAACTTCCATGTAGAAATGGATTTTCCGGAGTCTGCATTTCGCCTGCCTGGATAAAATAAACGGCAACTTACATCTAAAAATGCATTTTCCGGAAAAACGATAGCGCTAAAAACTCACTGTGGGTGGCTACGCGGAAAGTTTTAGACTTTCGAGGTTATTAATGAACACAGCAACTGAAAATTACAGATTTTCCATTTGGGTGCTTTGGGTAAAAGGGTACTGTGCAAAAGGTGCATTAAACAGAAACAAAGCTTCTTTTGGTAAATGAGCTATATTGTTTGCAATTTTTAAAAACCTGCAGCGAAATATGGACCTCGTTTTTATAGCGACAAATTGGAGAGATCTGTAAATATGCATCAGGAAATTCTTTTATCGGGGATAGATGTTTGGCAGCCAAAAAGTTAGACATGTGCATGATTTAATAAATTACSCTTAACGTAATACGGCTTGAGAAYAAGTTTAGAATGTCGGTAGTAGTTACTGAGATCCCAGTGTGTGCCAGAGTCTGGAAATGTTTTCTTCGCCGATAGCTTCGTTTACTTTAAAGTMGGATTTTCGGCTTAGGTAACCTTTTAATCTGTCACCAGAAATCTGCGGTACCCAGCAACATCGTTTACACGTGGAAAGTCATGTCGCATATTTCCCAAAATTTATGTAAGGTGACTTTGTATGTTTGTCTTTACTTAAACTCTTGTGGTTTCTTTGATTGGCATAAGCATCTTGAACGGTAACGAGCGACAATATATCTCAGTTTCTAAAATACTAATATTCTTCCTAGAACGCCTCTCCTATAGTTTTCCCGAGTAACCTGTTAATGAGTAGACAGCACCACTATTGTTCAAGCAAAATAAAAGAGATATGGACGTCGAAATGGATATTTTATTGCACGTTGTTTTATCACAACCCGTTTGCCTTTTAGTTTTATGCATGAAATTACCATAAGTTTCAACTATTTCTGTTACAAACAGATCTAAATTCGAAATAAATCACAAGCCATCTGGTTCAACTCCGAATACAAACCGTCCAATTTCTGTATCCCATAAACTTGAAGTATCTTCAATTTGGGTAAGCTTGAACTCAGCGAACTCCGATTTGCCTCTTTTAAGTTTCTTGGTTTTGCTTTGTGAAAGTTTATCATCACAATAGTGTTCCCAGCATTGCGGAAAACTAAGTAACATACTTCTTAAAACGACTAATTTCGTTGCAATACAAGAGTAGAGATCTTTATTATAAGTATAATTGCATTAAATTTTTAGGCATACATGTTTAGAAGTTGTACAGAGTGCTTCGGAGAACTAAGAAGTTTTCCAGTTAATTTGTTCAAGCATGAACATTAAGTTAAGCCGTATATTTTTTCAAAGCAAGACAATTTTCTTTATTCAAAATTGAATTTTATTGAAATCGCAAAAGTTAGTTGATGTGGGACAAATATGTGATGTAACAAATTAATAATGCACCTATAAAGAGAAAATAGCAAAATTATCATCACTAGCCATAACTGTAGATATTACACATATTTACTTAATTTTGTTGCAATAACTGGAAACCGCAAATCTACATTTTAGTATGAATAATAATGTATTCGCAATGGGCACTTTGAAACTGTGTAAAATTTAAATTGCATGTTGAAATGGTTTTAAATTACAAGTCATTAGTTAAATTATAAATAAAACTGGAACATACAGAGCTAATATTTCTCAACTGAAGTAGAACTTCTAAGGATGTAGTTAATATTTCCCTTCATTTGGGTTTTATATAAAAAAGGGAGAGTTATGAAGCAATCAAGTTGCTAAGTTCTGGTTTTCACTAAAACGCTTTATACATGACACGGTTTTCTTTCGTCAGCCCTCGCCTTTCTCTTTATAAAACACGTAAGCCATGCGAAGTTATTCCCCAAGGTAAAATCAACCTGTTCATTGAAAAGTTAAGGGTCTATGCAATAAATCCGTGCGGGTTTACAAATTCGACCTCAGAAAACTTTCGGACGATCCATCAATATTAACCTTAACGGCGAATAATGCTCGTTACCTGTTTAATATCCGAAAATGCTTTTATTGTGCTATTAATTATTCGGTTATTGTAAAAAAATCTTTTTAAGGAGAGCAGCTAAGAAAATTAATATCACGGCAGTGGATTTGTATAAAATGGGACATTTGCAAATACAGAATAGTTCCACATTAGACTGTTCTTGTTTATTTAGAACAAACAACAAGCAAAGAAAAACATTTGTTATTTGTTTGTGACTGTTTTAAAGTTTAAATAGATATTTCATCTTTATGCTTGAACAATATTTTCAAATCATGCAATTCTCTGGTGAGATATTTTTACGTTCCAATAAAAACGAACGGAATGGTCCAGCTAATTTTTCTGAATTCAAATTTCCTTGTAAGTAAACTTCTACTAAAAAGGTTTTGATGAAAATTAAGGCGAGGACAGTTTGTTTAAATAGGTAAAATGCCTGGCAACATAACACAACTTTGTGAGATTGAATATTTTTATTAGTGTGTGCTGGTAAGCTGGGTGTGACAGAGTTATCTACATACTGAGAAATGTATTAAGCATATATTGTGGTTCGAAAAAATCATTAAACTTGGAAGGAAATCTAGATAGATCAATCTGATCGTAGTTAAAGTACGCATAAAGTAAAAGTTACTCTTTTACTCTTTATTAAAATATATATTTTTTTGCAACTATCGTGTCGAGCGAGAGAAGTGTCCATGATTTAGAATTACATTATTATACATTTTTTGAAGCTGAAAGCTATCTCTAGAAAGAAAAGTATGATTTTGCTACGGTCTAATAAAGAAGTAACTGAATTTTATCAACTTCCAAATACATGTAGTTTAAAAAAGTTAGAATCTTTTACTACAAGTTACTGGAGAATGCCCCGTTTTGCAATAACTCGAGTTTAACAAGTTTTCCTATTACAGCTGCTCCTATTGGTGAACATGGCGGCTACGCCGAAAGTTTCAGCACAGTTTTTACCTGCTCTTAATTGAAAAGTTTCTTTTTTCATTGGTTCATGTTCTTGCGGCAGGATTCGGTTTGACACTCTTCATTAAAATTAATTTATAATGGACACATTGTTTATTACAATTTATAATATAATACCCAAGCTTTTTGGCAGTGGCGTCATGATTTGAGACGGCGTATTGAAATTTTCTAATTTTTTTTGCATATTGAGTTTTTTCATGTTGTCTGGCTGCCAGCTTGAGCGCTTGTTCCCGGTGATTTGCAAATATAAATTTCTGTTGAATTATTGTTATAGCACAGTTTTTTCTTTTTTGGGTTTCATTTTTTTCACATCACACATTTATCCGGCTAATAGCAGGTGGTCGGATTGCAATTTGCGCATTAACAGTTCTCTATAATACAGTAACGAAGCCTGTGAGTAGATGAACGATTGTGAACAATGACACGAAGGTATTCAGGATAGTGCGTACCTCAAGAATCTGCTGCCGAAAAGGTCATATTAAATGAGTGGCAGATGTCCTTCTACAGGCACACCATGTCACTGCAACGTCCAAGTATGCCGTGGGTGTGCTCAGTGTTCGCGTTGCTTAGAATGTTCAGTGCAATTGGTAGATAGCAGACGAATTGCCGAATGTACCCAGTGTTCTCGTCAGTTTGTGCGGCCTATTTCCCCAGGGCCCAGCACGTCACGTTCTTGTCCGCCCATCTCACCGACATCTTCTGGTCGGTACGTCCCGATATCACCGGGAAGTTCACGGTTACCACCTTTAAGCCCAGCAGCGTCTTTGCCCAGATGGAACTCGGCAAAAGACCTCTGGATCGGCGAAGAAACTAAACGAAACATGCCTCCACATGTTTACAAGTATTACTATCAGCGAACAATGTGCTATCGCAGGCAAAGTTTATCTAAGGTATTTCAGATTTTTCTTACGTTAGGTTTAGATACCTTTTTTATACTCTACGATTCTACAACTCAAGGCAAGAGTTGTTTTCAATGCAACCAATAAATTGACTCGATTGATTTCCGAGGTATCTGCATTTGAGCTCTTTGTGCGTTTAAAACATGTAATTTTTCAAATATTACAGTGTATGAAATAGCAACAAAAATGGTCCGCCCTAGTGAAATATTTGCTTCAATGGGATCGCATTTAAAAAAGTTGTTTATTTGTTAAGCCATTCTCTTGATTATCTTACATTTTTTTTTATCTGGGTTTAGATGATATTTCTACATGAGATTTCTTGATTGGATACCCTAGGGTCGGCCCCTTCCAATTTCCTCATTTGTTTCGTAAATTACATGTAGACACAAAAGGTTCAGATACAGGTTCAATAATATGACTTTATGTAAACCTGTATTAGTTTTGTCACATTATAACAATCAAATTTAGTAATGTTTTATGCGGTCGAATTTGGTTTCCATGTAGTGCTAAATATTTGCTATACGATTCAAATCCGGGGATTGTGTAGTTTTTTTAATTAATTTTGGACCGTAGTAAAGCATCAATTCTTGCACATTGCTCGGACTATGCTTAGGATCATTGTTTTAATACAATTTAAAGCTTCCCCATATCCCTATTTTAGACGCACTTTGTCACAAAACTGTTTTTTGAGATATTTAACTAATCCGTTTTTCCAAGATATCAATAAACACTAACTCGCCCACCCCACATGCAAAAATACACCTTCAGACCATAAGAACCTTGTTCCACTGTTACACACAAATTTTTACATTGTTTTTACAAGTTATTCATTTACTACATCATTTGTCGTCCATCAGACCCCAATATATTGAACTTGGACTCATCGCAAAATATTGCATATCTCCAATAACCTTCCAGCTTTAAATAACATTCTGATGCAAACTGTTGCTGAAAACGTTAATTTTTGTTTTACTAATTCAATGGCTTTTTCTCGAAACTAGACCAAAATGTCCATTAGCGTGAATAAGTCTGTGAACAATCTCAACAAAAACTTTGTAACTGGCAATTTTTTTACTTCAACTTGCACTTGGGAGGAACTTACTACTATTCTGTTTTAGTCGTCTTATGATAAGCCGCTCTCCTGTTTCATTTAGAGTCTGGTTGTTTTGAATGAATAACGTCATATTCCTTTCTGTTATTTGAAATGAGGTCACTTATTGTACTTTTTACGTTTAATTTTTCCGATTTGTCAGTTTCCTTTCGTAACTGAATATTATTAACTGTTGAAAGTACTTAAATTTGATTTGTTAAGTACTGTACACTTTTTTGTATACTATTAGACATTTGAAGAATGTAATTTTGTCGCGCAGTAAAAGTGCAATCATTCTTGTTCCGTTTGGATCCTTTATTAATAAAACATTTTTCATTGCGTTATTGTGGTATTTTACAAGCCAAATAAGCTAGAAGTTATATATATATTCCATAAATAAAAAAAAAACGAGTCTGGTGTTTATCTGAGGGATCTGTTTACCTCTACCAATTTGTTCAATGGTAGCTCTTAAGTAATAGTTGCGTACAGTCACTTATCATTCAGTACCCTAAATTTATATCTAAGATACCCAATAGACAATATTTTCCTATGAAATTTGATATTTACTTTACGCCCATGTTATCAATTCGAGCAACTTCAAAGTGGAATATTAAATAGACAAACGTTGCTGGTCAGCCTTGTTGGTCTTGGCGCGATGCTTTGTATGTTCAAAGCTATTCGAGCATTAGGAAAATTCGGAAATGACACCAGCTTTGAATATTCCGATAAATTCGTATGGGAATTGCATGCATTAATTAGTAATGTTCTGTTAAGCTTCAGTCTTGCCGGTCATTTAGCTATGATTTTCGACAATTGCTGGAGTTATGGCCATAATAATTGTGAATATTCGGCATTCGAATATCAGGATGATGTGTGTTTTACTTAATTTTCTCATAAATCGAAACCATATTGTTCAGAAAACGAAAACTATTCAATACTTTACGTGCGAATTTTGAAGCTTTTTCCTTGGGTATCTAAATAGATTATTGTTATTATTGTTCACTAAGTGTATTGAAATATATTTTTTGTTGCAGGTGAGTGCAGTTTTACATGAGCGCTAATGTTCGCGGTAAGTTTCAAGCAAAACTACATTTTATCATTAATTATTTCAGGTGTTAAAAACAATAAAGGTGTTTATTCATTATTTTATATGATATTTTTGTGTTTGCGTCTTCAAGAGATCTTTATCTGAGTGTTAAGTCTAGAAATTTTTGGATCAATAGTATTACATTCATAATAAGCAACAACCGACAATAGGTACTGTTATACATACTCACATTCGCTGAATATGTCATGCTGTGTTATTCTGCGACTGTGATGACTACAAAGCGAGAGATATAAGAAGGGTATAGAGACAACATAAGATAGGACTTACGTTACTTCTAGTTAAAGAGTATTTTTACTGTGCAAATCTTCTTCTTTATAACCGAGTTAAACCGACCTATTTTGAACATACTATATGCACTTCAGTGTTCGTATTATTTGCAAACTGTGGTCTCCACATTATTAATTCCGCCAATTAATGACAAATTGGGTCATTTTATCTAACGGAATCAGAAAATGTCCCTTAGAGATCGATGTTTCCGCTTAGTGGCTGATTTAATTGGTCAGTAAATATGGAACGAGTATTTTCAGTATTCTTGTAAAGAACTGTTCTGTATGTCAATTTCGATCAGTAATTGTCTTTTTCTAAATAATTGTATCGGTTTACGACATTATATTTGTGTGAAAATGTTTTCCTGCATAAATTCCCTGATTTTGGCTTGTTTTAATCTTATATCAGTGAAAAATTATTTTATTTCAAGCACACTGACTATCATCGATTCGGTCCTGCAAAACATCCCCTAGTAGTCATTTTTACGACACAAACTTTGAGTTACTAGTTCCTTTATGATGTAGCAAAAAATGTATAATTTGATTAAATAATTACTGCAGAACTATGCAAAACTCTCTGCAAAAAAGATCATATTTTTTGTATTAGGATTAAAATTTTAAACTGCTTAATCTAGCTGCGATTTGACAGAAAATGTATGTTAGCTATTGAAGCGTAGCCGACCTGTTTTAACTAGCGCAACGATAAAAATTCCTCGTGAAAATGCAAAGGTCGAAATTAGATCTTTTCTATTTCAAACCATGGCCGCAAAGTTTTGATACCGAAACATTATGAAGTTTTCACCCACTTACTTAACTAGGCAAAATAACTTTTACTGTATTCCATTTTTAAGCTAACTATACGATTTTCTCCAAACTTTTTGCATGGAAGTTTCTGATTGCAATTATTTTTCGTTTCGTCAGCTATTTATTATGCCTTTGAGGCTATAAAACTGAGCTGAACTGAAACTTTCCATCGCCCATTTCATCAGCTACATTTCCAGCTGGCCCCAGGGATCGTTTTTACATGCCGAAATAATGTTTAGTCAAATCAAATTTAGAGCCGTTTCGTTTATCAGTATAACGTAATTTCTGATACTAAATTTAACACGTAACATGTACCTACTACAGTACTGTATATCCACAGTCTGTTTATTCTTGATTTTTCAACTTACTACAATCGTTTCCATAAATGAAAGCTACGCATGGGCACCCCCAAAAATCTGCATGCAGATTTTGACCACAATAAATTTTTATTAAACATCTGGTCGTTGCCGTTTCAAAACTCGTTAGTCACCCGTATTGCTTGAAACGTACCAATAAATTACAAAAATAGCTCAACCCTTCGTTTCAAAAGTGATTAAATAGTCGTTTGTATTTTTGTTGCTTGCCAGCCATATGTGGACTATAAACATCAGACCAAAAAGAGATACATAGTCCCAAAATGTCGTGATTTGAAGGTGACGATTAATACTTTCTAATGGCTTTTTATTGGTTAAGGATGGTTTACTTGATTTGAGCATAAAACATTTTATTTTTAATTTGCTTGGTCAACCGGTGCTGCAGATGTAGACAATTGAGTCAACATGTTTAACCTGTGAGCAGATGCAACCAGTGAGATTGTATAAAGTTTGAACTAGCAAATAAAAGCAAATCTGCAGATAATAATTCAGTCGCACTACGTAATTAAATTATGTTACCACCAATTATTATGTCCGTAATCAAACTGCAGTCTGCATTGACTAACTACTCTTCTCTAGTCAAGGTGGCAATGTGTCTAAGTGCTTAAATAGAAACCTATATTCCAAACTTCCAAAGCAATTAGAGCTTCTGATGAAAACTTAGAGTTCCATTATTAGACCTAGTTAAACAGAGAACAGGAGAAGGTTCCTATATCATAGGTTGCAGTTATTATAAGATCGATTTAATATGTGGCAAACACGAGCCGAAAATCCTGGAAGCGGAAGTAATTGGATCGAGCGTGTCATCTTATCATGTTCGAACCGACGACACATTCTAATGTCCGAGAAATGTTCCAATCTATCATATAACCTTTTATCATCTCATAATTAGTAGAAATTCTGACTATTGAAGTCCTTCTTAAGAGTAGACCCATGCCAACAGTTGTCCCATCAATTTACAGTTTAATTGACTCGGTTATAGTTTGTTGTTTACTTCTGGGCTGATAATGGCTCTGGAAACCCACAGAATCGAATGACTTAATGTTAATGTGTTTCATTCAGTTTACTGCAAATGTAGACGATACGCACCACTTGTAACAAATGTGCTTAATAGCTCGGAGAATTTTCAAATAAAAGGGGTCCCACGGAAGTTAATTACTTAGTTTTTGCCGGGTTTTTAACAACTGTTCTTTCCCGCAACCGCAGTAGCATGGCAGAGGCGTAAAATATTGCGAGCATGTTTTTCAAGTCTGTTGAGCAACTAGGGACTGTAAAATAGGAATGATAACAATCATTGATGCTTTATGTTTTATTTTTTGTTTAAAATCACAGATTATGAATTGCCAGGA